CAATTTACCAATGGCTGAGGAAGGCTTGGAAAATTCACCTGCTGTAAAGGCTCCTGCTTGTCACATGCCCCTGGATACACAAAGGCAGATGGAAGGGACTCAATTCCCCAGAGTAATGCAGATCTGCATGAATTTATCCTGTTTTTCTTCCCTGCTGGTTGCAGAGACACCAAGAGGTTTCTCTAGAGCTCAAAGCACCCTCTGTGTGCAGAGGAATCCCAAGTTCAGGGCCAGCCAGTGGAAGTTTTTTGTGTTTTCATGGCCCTCTCTGCCTGTAAACCGCACGTGTCCCACAGAGATTTCCCCACAGCTCTGCCCTGCAGCCACCCCTGGAATTCTGGCACCTCTCCTGCCTCACCAGGGCCAGCTTGGTTTGTGCTTGGGGGAGAAGTGGGAGTGGGACAGGCAGGATGAAGGAAACCAGGAATTGCTGTGTGGGTCAACCACAGGAAAGAGATCCTGAGCTATCCAAAGCCTGGCTGGGATTTTTTCTGGAGAGAGCAGCCCTGAGCCAGAGATGAGCTGAGCTCAGCTTGGTGGGTGCCCAAACAGAGGGAAAAGGGGCAGGATGGGCAAGAGAGCAGCACTGGGGGCCAACAAACACCAGGAGCATGGTGAGGAATATCCCACAGCCAGAAAAGTCTGGAAAACGAGATCGGGGCACTGTAGGCACTGCGGTTTGCAGAGGACGACTTGTCATCCGGCAGGAGCCACGGAAAATCTCACAATTAATAGACGATTTCTGACGGAAAAAAGCAAAACTATTTCCTCTTTGCTGCAGAAGTGAGTGGCCAAGCTTTCGGTTCTCCATTCAGCTGAGGGCCGGATGGGACTTCTTACTGGATGCTGATGAAATGATTTCCATTGTGACTGGAACGGAGGATATTACAGAGAATTGCACAAATGTGCAGCTCAGCAAGAGCAGGCAGTTGGTGTTTAATTCTGTTTAAGGAATTAGATATCAGGAACTGATATAAAGGGAGAGTAAAGAAATGACTTGTGGTTTTATTTCTCCTGCCACAGTGAGCAGGTGACTTTTAAATCCAGCAGAGGAACATGAATTTGGAGGGGTGGAAATGCAGGGAAAGAGAAACTTCAGCTTTACAAATGCAAATTTGAAAAACTGAAGAAAGAAAAAGCCCATTAGTTAGAGGAGGAGAGTAAAGAGCCAAAGATGCCACTTCTTTTTTGGCTTGTCTGGTTATGGTTGAGTACTCAATACCACCAAAATATTGTGCACCCAAGAAAGAAAAGGGAAAGAAGAGCAAATAATAAATAAGGAATAATAAATAAGGAATAAATAAGGAAGAAAGAGACAAATAATAAAGAGAACAAATAATAAATAAGGAATAATAAATAAGGAGTAAATAAGGAAGGAAGAGGCAGTTGAGGCAGGTGCAGCCAAAACATAAAGGCTACAAAGATTCCCATGAATTCCTCCTGAGCCAGGCTGTGGCCACCTCACCACCAGACAAACTCACATGGGGTGGGAGAGCAAACGTGGCACTGATCTCACAAAGTCTGATGATTTTGGCCCTGCCTTGCATGAGTATCCCAAAGAAAAGGAGGGGATTAGGTCTGAAACCCCTTCACCCCCGGGGCTGTGCAGAGGGACCAACCCTGACTGAGGGCAGGACAAGGGGGAGCAGCAGGGACTGTGTGGGGCCAGAGCAGACCCCAAATTTGCTCTGTCCCAGGGTGAGAAACCTCTCCCTTAGGGCTCTTATCCCAGAAATAAGGGATAAGAGGAGAATCACAGAGTATTCTTGTAGCATTCACATTTTCTGAAAAATCCCTTTGCCCAGGATTTTTCTCCTGGGAAGCTGAGAAGCCTCAGAGAAAAAGGAAAACAATTCTTATCTCATTTGCTTCTCCTGTGTTTTGTTCCTTTGGAATGTGTTTGGAGATTGTTCACCCACAGGTGATTGTTTCATTGTACTCTGCTGTGAGTTGTTTTGACTCAGTGGGCAATTAGGGCCAAGCTGTGTTGGGATCTGGAAAAAGTAATGAGTTTTCATTATTATCTTTTTAGTATTCTGTAAATATCCTTTCTCTGTTCTTTAGTATAGTATAGTTTAGTATTCTTTAATATAATATAGTATCTTGAAATAATAAATTAGCCTTCTGAGAACACGGAGTCAGATTCATCATTCCTTCCTTCATCGGGGCACCCCGCAAACACAATATATCCTTGAGCTGGAAGGGATCCACATGGATAATCAAGTCCAGCTGTGATCCTGAGGCAGAGGGATGCTCTGGGCACCCTTTTCAGGCGAGCACCAAAGGCATCAAAGCAACCTCTGCCTTCCCCAAGGCAGGAACCCACAGCAGGAAGAAATGAAAGTCGCTGCCAGCACCTCGATCCCGTGCAAGTGCAGAGGAAGGCACTGGGGTTGTGCAACATCCCCCTGGAAGTGACACTCATTGATAAAAATGCTGCAAAGAGCTCCCGTGGCTCCGAGGAGAGCACGGGGCAGCCCCATGAGCTGGCCCTGACCCTGCTGTGGGGGGTTTTGTGGGGCTAATTCTGCTTTCAAAGCAGAGTTCCTACAGCAGGCCCTGCTGATTTACTTTTTATTCAAATTTCCAAAAGTTCCTTCCCTCCCTGAGGGTCCTGTGGGAAGACCCCAGCTCAGGACAGGTTTTCTGTGGTCCTGCATCAGAGTAGCTTTAGCACCAGGATGAGAGGAAGAATGGTAAAGGAAAAGAAAAACCTCTGCCAGGCAGGAGGCTGCAGCACACCTGGCATTCCAGAAACCCCCCTTAAATTAATTCTTAAATTAATTAAATTCATTAAAGAATTATTAAACATTTCTGTGCTGACAAGCACTGACCCCCAAGAGAACGCTGCATTTAACCTGAGGCCGTAAAGAAAGCTTCCAAAAGTGAATTATAGAACTTAGATTATGAGTGTGTCGTTTGAATAGAAGTGTGTATTATCACTTAGTAAAAAACTCAGAGTTTAAAGTTTTAAAATATAATAATATATATAAAACAAAATAGAAGTTTCAAGGCAAAAGCTAGTCCTCCTTCTTCACCTTCTTCTTCATAGGTTTGAGTGGTGTTGTATAATTAAATTTAAAAATCCCCATTGAGGCCCACAAGTAGTTAGTTACTATGTTAAAAGTAAAAGTAATTTAAGTATCATCTCTTGTAGACAGTTTTTCCTTAAAAAGCCTTGTAGAAAGAGAGATACAGCTCCATTTTTAGTTTATTTTTGACTCTCCATTTAGTTCATTTTTAGTGCTGTAGAACTCACAGTTTGCGAGACTGTAAAATAAATAAGAATTAATAAACATCTAAGTCTGAACAAAAAAATACCATCTCACACATTTAATCCCCACCTTTACTGGGATCAGTGGGGGATGAAGTCCAGCAACAGGGGGGTGATTTGACACAGCAGCCACACGTGCCTGATGCCTTGAGAAGGCTGAGCTAGAACAGTCTCTAGATGGAGTTACAGAATAAAGCAGGGATTTATTAAAAGGATCTCCTCCATGGATGCATGTCATGGTTTGTGCCAGTGTCAATCCATGACAATGCACCTGGGGCAGCACAGGAGCCCAGCCAGGGCTGCAGCCAAGATGAACCAAAATGGTCCCAAAATGCACGAGCGCTCAGGGGGTCTCTCCCTGGGATCAGCTCTGCTCCATGTGCACATTGCAGTTCAGTGTCCAATTCCAGCTCAGCCCTTGCAGTCCCATCCCGCTTGTTTTTCTCTCTTCAATTCACCATTATTTATACTCTTGGGCCTGAGATTTGGATCATTTATCCTTGGTGCCCAGCTGGAGCAGGAATTGTTTTGTCTCCCTGCTCTGTGCAGAGCTCACCATCCCCTCATAAGAAGCCCAGGCCCACACACTAAAGCAGCACAGAACCTGAAAAATACAAAAGCCAAACCCTGAGGCATCATGCCTGCCACCCTCCTGCCACCCAGCACCACCGGGGCCACGGGGACACCGAGCTGGTGGCCCTCAGCCCCACACTTGGCAATCTTTCATCCCCCAGTGGTTCAGTGCTTCATCATCTGGCACCTCTGTGTGGGCTCCATCTCTGAGTCAGATTCTCAGGGTGAATGTGGCATTTGGGTGGGATCCCCACCCCTGGGGGCGTTCCAAAGATGTGTCACCTGGGGATGTGGTTTGGTGCTGCCTTAACGCTTGGACTTGACCTTAAAGGTCTTTTCCTTAATGCTTCTGTGGTTTAGAGAACCAGTTCCTGCCCTATCCTTCAAACATCCCAAATATTCTGCTGGATCCTGGGATTTCCAGCACCAAAGAGCAACTAGAAAAGTCTGGTTAACTCTCATTTTCTCTGCAAAAATTGAGAATTGCAGTTACACAGTCTTAGGCAAGAATATTCCTTCTAATTCCAGACCAGTTCCAGGGGATGTAGTCCTGTGGGCATTGTGGCAGATTGATTGTCCATTGGTCATTGATTGTACAAAATTTGCCATTGATTTGTACAAAAAATGCCCTAAATGGGAGCAGATAAATGGCAACAAATCTGACAATGTGTATAAAGGTATCTTTAAGAGTGAGGCAAGTCCTAGCTCATCAAAAAGATTCAAGTGAGTCACAAACTAAGAGGGAAGTGAACAATGCAGCTTTTTTTCCTGGAGAAACTGCCTGCCCGTGGCTTGGACGGGTGCCCTGTTTGGGTGACAAGCTGGCTGCTGGCCCAGGGGTGGTGGGGAAGGCAGTGACACCCAGCTGGGGCTGCCACCAGTGCTGCTCCCCAGGGACCGAGCCAACCCAACCCTAAACACCCTCAAATACCCTCAAACACCCCAGAGGGAATCCTTCTCCCATTTCTCCCCATCCCATGGGCCGCTGCCCAGGGCATCCTTGAACCCCACACATGGGCAGGGCTGCTCCACCTTGAGGGGAGCTGGGCCCTTTGGGTTTCCTGGGCTCTTCCTGGCCAGGCTGAGCCTGGCTGTGACCCGTTCTCTGCCCAGGACTGACATCTCACTCCAGCTAGACCACAAGAGGGTTTATTGGGGGCAGGGGAGGGGACAGAGCCAGCTCTCTTAAATTAATGAGTGACACAAAAACACACAGAGGATTATGGGGTACAATTAAATAGAGATTTGGGGAAGGCAGCTTCACGTGGAGGTGCTGTTTGGCTTCTTCTGCTTCCTCAGGTACTCCTGGAGCCATTTCTCCTCTGGGTCCACACAGACCATCCCCTTTGGCAGCTTCACACTTGGGGGGAAAGAATACCCCGAGTCAGCCTGGGAGTGGAGGATCCCCCCAGGGGTTCCTGCAGCATCCTGCCCCCCCTTTCCCTGCCAGGGCTGACTCCTGGCCTGCTGGCAGCACAAATGGGGCCGTTTGGGGCTGTTTGGGTTAAGCAGGGAGGGAGGAGATTGTGAAGAGCCAGGTGAGGACAGCCCCACCTGCAGCGCCCTGCGCAGGCGCCTCATTTTTGGGGAGTCCCCAAAAGCGGAGCAGCTGGTGGGGAAGGAGGGTGGGTGAGGTGAGGACGGGGTGGAGGGGAGGAAGGCTGGCTGGGAGCTGGGGTTACTCACAGAACAGCCCTGTGGGTGCAGCTGGGGGCTGTTTCCAGGTAGCCCCGGATCCTGAACTCGGGGATTTTCCGATGGGAGAACATTCCCTTGGAGCAGCAGTTGGCTCTGGAGCTGCGGACTGAGGGCAGGAGCGAGGGTTCAGTGCTCTCCCTGTCCTGGCACGAGGGGTGTGGGCTCTGCTCCTGCTCCCTCATCCCACAAAGGGAGCATCTTGCAGCCCCAGGGGTGATGCTCTGCTCCAGGGTAGGAGCACCCTGCCTGTAGAGCTCCCCAGCTGGGACTCTGGGGCTGAACCAACCCCATTTTTACACATTTTGAACAAATCCAGGCCAGCCCCATGCTCAGGCACCTGCTGATGCTCCACAGCCCCATCAGGAGCTGAGCTCTCCTCCTCTTCCCCAGCCCCAAATCCCATCAGAGGAGGAGCTGGGACGGCTCAGAAGGGAAAATCTCCCTGCTGGTACTTACAGGACATCCCCTGGCTTCCAGTCCAGGCAGCTGCCAGCAGCAGGACGAGCAGGGCCAAGGAGATTTTCATGTCCACCCCGAGGTTCTGTCAGCACCAGCAGCTCTGGTTCTCCTCAGGCCACCAGGAGCTGCCTGCCCTCCTGCCTGCAGCCCTGGGTGATTTATAACAGCCCTGCCAGGCTTTCCATGACAGCTTGGACCCTCCCTGTGGAAAGAACCGCTTGGATCTCTCCATGAGGGGTGAGAGGTGAGGGGAAATTCCTTCTGGCAGCCACTTTGGCCACCGTGACACCTGAGGGCTGCTCAGGGGCGTGGGAGCAGCCACTGATGCTGGGCTGGGAGTCTATTTTGGGCTGGGTTGTGGCCACCAGCAAACAGCACAGGATGATGCTCACACTTGTGAGTTCCTGTGCCAAAACCACTCCTTGCCTTTGGCTCTGGGGCCTCTGCTCGCTCTGGGGTGGTGGCTTGGTGGTGGCTGGTTTGTTTCTCCCATTGCTGGTTGCTCATCGTGGTGCCTCTGCCACTGTCACAGCACCCATCACATTTCCTGGTGGCATCCTGGGGTTTGGGGCTGGCTCAGGCATCCCTGAGATCCCCCTTTAAGGGAATTTGGGCTGTTAATTAGGATGGTGGATGAGGAGCACAGGAAGCCCCCTCCTCCCAGCATGTTGTCCCTCTGGTTCTTCCCCAAAGCCCTCGTGGGTTTGGTTTGGCCCCATTCACCCCTGGACACCCTCACAGAGACCTGGCTGAGGCTCCAGCTCCTCCTGGCTCCTTGCTGATCCCAACACCTGGGCAGGAAAGCCAACAGCAGGATCTGCCCAGGCCCGAGAGACTCGCACAGACAGATGTTTTCATGTGGGAATCGCGTTTAATTCAGAGTTGACAAAAAACAACTGTGGAGCTGCTCCCCCTTCACCCCCCCGCCTGCTGCAGCCTCTCCGTGGACCACAGAGGGTCTGGACACTCCATCCTGCTGGGCTGGCAAAGGCCCTTTGCCTTCGGGGAGGTGGTGAGGGCCATCGTGATGGGGAGGATGTCCCTTGTGAGCTGCTCCATCCAGAAGTGTCCCCTCTGCCTCAGTGGTGTCCCCCACGAGGAGGAGTCCCGCTGTCCCCAGCCACCCCACTAGCTGGGGATGGAGAAGGAGCTGACTTGGAAGCTCTGCTGGTACCTCTTGACCCACGCCCTGCTGGCCTGGGTGCAAATCTCCTTCCCGTTCCTCACCTTGAAGCTGGGGCACAGAGAGGCTGGGGTCAGTGGGGGACCCCAACACTGAGCTGCTGAGGGGCTCAGGGGCACAGGGGGTCGGGACTGGACCCACCAGAGCAAGGCACGGGGTGTGGCAGGATGCAGGGGGGGCTTTGGGCTACTCACATCACAGCCTGGTGCGGGCACTCGGGGCTGGTGGGGTAGCAGGCCACCACGTTGTCCCTCTTGATCCTTCTGGTCTGGAAGTTGAAGCAGCATTTGTCCGGCATGGCTGGAGCTCCTGGGGGACAGCACAAGCCTGGCTCAGCCTGGAGACCCCCAGCCCCTCCTCAGCCCTCCTGCCATGGCAATGGCAGCTCTTTGGGGGGATCCCCCTGCACCCCGTGTGTGAAGAAAACCCAATCCCACAGCACGGGGTTCTGTCCCTCTCCCCCAGCCCTAGGTTCTGTCCCTGACCCCACAGCCCCTGGGTTCTGTCCCCATCCCCAATGCACCCCGTGTGTGAAGAAAACCCAATCCCACAGCACGGGGTTCTGTCCCTATCCCCAAACCCTAGGTTCTGTCCCTGCCCCATCCCTGGGTTCTCTCCCCATCCCTGGGTTCTGTTCCCAGCCCTGGGTTCTGTCCCTGTCCCCATCCCTGGGATCCCTGGGTTCTCTCTCCATCCCTGGGTTCTGACCCCATCCCCACACCCTGGGTTCTGTCCCTGCCCCATCCCTGGGTTCTCTCCCCAGCCCTGGGTTCTCTCCCCATCCCCCAGCCCCTGGGGTCGGGGCAAAGCTCACTCTGAGCCAGGCTGTGCCAGCACAGCGTGGAGAGGATGAGGAGGGCACAGACCATCCTGGTGGCTGTCCCCATGCCGGGCTGTGGCAGTGGCTGAGCCGCCTGTGCTGGGGCCAGCCTGCCCCGGCTGCTTTTATGGGGGATCTTCCCCCAGGGCCAGGGGGAGGGCCTGGCCCCTGCCACGTCCCAAAGCACAGAGGGTAAGTGAAACTCATCCCCTCATCCCCTCCCCAGCCCTGGGAAAGGAAAAATGTGCTCCCAGGCGGTGCTTCTGGCACCGATGGGCTTGGGATTTTCCTGAGCTCCAGCGTTGGGGCTGATGGACAGGCTGTTCCCAAAGCTTGGCTCTGCGCCCTGGGTCCCTGGGCAGGCTGTGTCCAGGCCTCGTGGAGGGAGCTCCAGGGGAGGTGAGAGGGTTTGGGGATGTCCTTTGGATGGGTCAAGGGACAGGCACAGCATCCTGCAGGGTCTCCCATGGTCCCTGTCCTCCCCCTGCCCTGCGGTTTTATGTCCTGGTCCTGGGGACCACCAACCAAAAACCCTTTTACCTCTCACCCCCAAAAATACCAGCCATAGAGAAAATAAAACTATAGAGGAAAAACCCCAAAACATAAAGAAACAGCTTCTGCCTGGTTGCATCAGGCACACAAACTCCTCTGTGCAGCTTTTGGGGGTGTTTGGGGCCCAGGGGGCCGGGGGGAGGACGGGCAGGTGGCTCCACTTCCCCGCTCCCGCTGCCAAAGCAGCAGCTCATGTTCTTGGCCGTGCTGGGCTGGGAAAGGCAGAGGCCAGCGAGGGAATTCCTGGTGGATTTTGCCTGGCTGCAGCTGTCAAAAAAGCCCCTTCTCCCCCCAGCCCCTGCAGGTCCCAGGGCGCTTCCCAGCTGCCGGCAGCTGGCGGAGGATGGGGAGCAGCAGGGAGAGGCGGGGGCTGCGCTGGGAATGCCAGGGATCCTGGGGCGCTGGGGACACAGCCCTGCACAGAATCACAGAATGACTGGGTTGGAAGAGACCTTCCAGATCATCGAGTCCAACCCAGCCCCAACACCTCAACTCAACCCTGGCAGCCAGTGCCACATCCAGGCTTTGTTAAACACACCCAGGGATGGGGACTCCACCACCTCCCCGGGCAGCCATTCCAGAACTTCATCACCCTTTCTGTAATAAACTTCTTCCTAATATCCAGCCTATATTTCCCTTGAGGCAGCTTGAGACTGTGTCCTGGACTGTCTTGGGATGCTGCTCCTAGAAGGGGAATGGGAATGGGGATTTGCTCTTCTCCAAACCCACTTCCCAGAAATCAGCCTCAGCTTGTTTGGGATGCTGTGTGGGATGACAGTGAGGTGCCATGTGATGCCCCAAGGGTGGTGGGAGCAGATAACTGGGGTTTGTGTTTGTCTGGCAGAGCTGAGCACCTTTTGTCATCACCCAAATTCCCAATTCATCCCTCCTGGGGGAGCAGAGATGTCTCTGGCTCTGCTCTGGCCCAGCCCTTGGCTGGATCCATCTTTTCCCTCATCCCTCTTCCTACCCCCACGCACCACAGAGCTCCTGCTGCAGCTGGGGCAAACACGGTCCTCTAAGGGTAGAAAATGTTCCCTGGAAAACAAAAGAAAGGAAAACAAAACAGGGTTTATCGGTCTGGGAAAATCCCTTTTAATGACTCCGAGGTAAAATTCCGGGATGCAGCAGGCAAAGAAGGCCGGGAATGACATTCCCATCTCATCAGTGCTTGATGCAGAGAAGGGCTCGGGACGTGGGCAGAGTCTCTGCTCTGGGGTGGCTCCAAAAGTCCTCTGATCCCAGAAATTATCTGGGCTGGAAAACATCTTTTTCCTCCCTTTCTTCCCCTGTTTCTTGGGAGCTCCGTGCCTGCACTCCCAACTCTGGCTGCGGGACGAACCGGGACACACAGAGAGAGCCCGGGACAAACAGGGACACACAGAGAGAGCCCGGGACACACCGGGACAGCCTGGGACACACCGGGACAGCCCGGGACAAACCGGGTCACACCGGGACAGCCTGGGACACACCGGGACAGCCCGGGACAAACCGGGACACACCGGGACAGCCTGGGACACACCGGAACAGTCTGGGACAGCCCGGGACACACCGAGACAGCCCAGGAATGCCGCTCGCCCCCGGGGCAGAGCTGCTTTTCCAGCCGATGCTTTATCGATGCATTTCCCTCTCAGCCCATCAATAACCCCCGGGGGCGGCTGCTGTGGCTGGGGCAGCCAAAGTCAGCCCGGGAGCGGAGCTGCTTTGTCAGGTCAGGGCTGTTTCTAACACGGATTTGTTTGATTTCTTCTTCTGCCTTTGTTTGATTTCTTCTTCTCCCTTTTGAAGCGTGGTCGGGTCAGCTTTTCCATCTGACGTGGAGGTAACCACTGAATTCACACTTCGTTCGTGCCATTTCCTTTTTTTAAAGTCCTTGTCCGGCCCCAGCCACCCAGGACTTCCCCAGCTGCTGCAGAGATGGTTTCTATCAGATTGGGTCACCAAAAAAAGGTGTCCCCTTTGCCACCCACATCCCTGCAGAGCCCAGCTGGATTCTGCTCCCAGAAAGCAGGGGAGATGTTTTGGGGTTTTCTTTGTCCAAGGCATTGCCTGGCACCCAGCTGCCCTGAGACTCCTTCCTCCGATAGAATTAAGATCAAATGAGTGCTGCCATCCTTTTCCAGGGGAGATTTCACCGGGAAAATCACAGCTAAATCCAATTTCAGACATGTCAATCCTGTGGGAGGAATGCTGAGCATGCCACAGGTGCTGCTGGAAGAAGCTGGTCCAGGCTTGGACCAGCCCATGTTGCCCTCCCCTCCCTGATTCAGGCTCAGGGAAAGGTTGGAAGCGATGTTCCCACCTGTGGGAAGTGGAAACACTGTGAAAAACATGGCATTGTGTGGCTGTGGTGTAAATCTCTGGGGGTTTGGGCTCCTCTCATGACTTCAGAGCTGTGTCCCCACATCCCGCTGGCCCAGGAGGAGAGCAGCCCCAAAGGGAAGGGGTTTGAGCCCAGAGCAGTGCTGGGGACCTCCGAGAGCTGATCCCAAAGGTGAAAAGCTGTCATTTGGGATGACAATCCCTGTCCCCATCTCCTGAGGGCAGGAGTTTTGTGGTTGCCCCCTTGTCCCTGGGCACAAGGAAGGGGTTTTGTGGTTGTCCTGCTGTCCCTGGGCACAGGAAAGGGGTTTTACGTTTGCCCCCTTGTCCCTGGGCATTTCATCCCCTCTCAGCTGTCCCGAGCTGAACTCTCCCCCTTCCCCGACACTTCTCCGGGTGCTCACTGACTCATTTCCCGTGTCCTTTGGCCCCGGCATCCTGGCTGCCCCCGCAGGGGACGGCCCCGGCTCAAACGCTGATTTCACACCAAACTCCTCTGCCTGAGATTGCGATCAGGGCTGGGCTGCTCGAGCTGAGCGAGCTCGTCCCAGCCCTGGTCTTTGAAAACCCCGAGTTCAGGGCTCAAATAAACCCAAGCCCTCCTCTGACTCCTGATCTGCACCCCCATTCCTGATGTGTACCCCCATTCCTGATCTGCACCCCCATTCCTGATCTGCACCCTCGTTCCTGATCTGCACCTCCATTCCTGATGTGCACCCTCATTCCTGATCTGCACCCCTCTTCCTGAT